TAGAAACGTTTCTAGTTGGATGGATTTGGGCGCTCCTGTAGTGGCCCGTACGTTTCCTATAATCGTGGCGCGTTAACGGGCACTACTTTAAGAAGTACTGCAGTGGTTTAACTGCCGATCAGACTGAGACGGTCGACCCACCTGTTTTTTGGCAATAACTCTATCAATCATGTACCCAGCTACCTATCACACCCTAATGAGGACAACCCCAGACGCCTCCAATCCAGAGAAACACCCTACCTACCCACCCTCGTATCTCATCCACTCATCTCTTGAAACATCCTACCTATCTCATCCTCCTATCCAGAGAAACACCCTACCTGCCCACCCTCCTGTCTCATCCGCTCATCTCTTGAAACACCCTACCTATCTCAGCCACCTATCCAGAGAAACACCCTACCTACCCACCCTCCTATCTTACCCACTCTCCCGTCTCAAGCGATGAACAGAAAACTCCGAGCATGCGGCATCAGGTCTCAATTACTGTATATCTGATTTACAAAGCCATACCTTCCCGTTTCCACCGATGAACAGAGGGGCGGGCACAGCATGTTGAGGGGAGCGCGCCTCGTGGCGTACGACTATCATCATGTAGTGGAGCACCAGCAAAAGAAAGTATATGTCATTTTGATTATTTGTCTGCTTATTTTGTACCCCCCATTGTTTCCCCCCTCAGAAAGCTTCCATAAAGCTGTAATGAGACGAGGCGGCCAAGGATAGACAACAATATAAAAAAAAATAATAATAATAAAGATGAGGCGGCTGACACGGCAGGGGTACGTCTCCCTCAGCGAGCACCATCTCAGCAGGACACCATATGCTGCTCATAATTTTTCTGTGTCTAGAACCTCATACCCCTATAATAATATACTTGGGGATTAAAACACTTTCCAAGGACACAGAAAACAAAAAGAAGATCTAGCATACAAAACACGGCAATCATGAAAGCTTCCAGAGCTAAACACTCTATCCCATGGATCCAGCAAGAGCCAAAATGGACTATATCACCCACTCACGTCATATCGAAAACGCAGCAGACTGTTGATTCACTCCCGATCAATGGTCAGCACGTCACCCTACGAATGTTCATCACCAGCGAAAAACACAGAGACAGGCATCCCGGCCCCCTACCTTCTCCCCCCGAACATAAAGCATATGCGTTGTAAATGAATACAATGCATAGGGTGCATTCTATTCGAATACAACACGTGTGCGTTCTATTTGAATAGCCCTAAATTTCGACTACAACGCATGTGCGTTCTAGTCGAATTTTGTTTTCCAAAATTTGAAACTCGAATACAACGCATATGCGTTATGTTCGGGGGAAGAAGGTAGTAGTAGTGCTCACAGGAGCTCTGAACAGCCAAAGACCGACTATTTGGCACAACTTGAAGGTGCTCGACTTCCGCTCTTTGAACAGGAAAGGTCCAAACCACGTGGCAAATAGAAAACAATACAACTAGACAAAGACGCAGAGAAACCTCTTAAGGAGAAACGAGAAAATGGCACAACTTGAAGATGCTCGACTTCCACTCTTTGAACAGGAAAGGTCCAA